CCTTGCTGTCCCGACCTCTCCTCCCCTCTTTTTCCTTCCCCCTATATCATCCCAACGCGACGTTATCCCGATCCCGCCTCCACCTTCCCTTCCTTCCCGTCTCGACCTCTCTCCCCCCACTCTCCCTCCCTGATCCCGACCTCCCCCTCCTCTGTTCGCGTCTCCGATTGCGACCTCCCGGTCCCGACCTTTTATCCCGACCTCCCCGTCCCGACCTCTCCCTCTCTTCCCTTGCTCCCCCGACCTTGCCCCATGCCTAGATTCCTCCTTCCTCCTCCTCTATCCCAACTCATCTTCTCCCATGCCTAGATTCCTCCTCCCTCCTCCTCTATCCCGACTCCCATCCCATCCCGACGTCATCGCGATCTCTTCCTCCTCCCTTTCCTTCCCTGTCCCAACCCGTCTCCCATCCCGACCTTCCGACCTGATCCGGACTTTCCCTCCCTCTCCTTCCTTCCCCCGACGTCGTCCGAACTCTCCCTCTCCCCTTTCCTTCTCCGAGCTCGTCGTCCCACTTCCCTATCCCGACATCGTCCCGAGCCATCTCCCATGCCTAGACTCCTCCTCCCTCCTCCTCTATCCCGACTCCCATCCCATCCCGACCTCATCCCGACCTCTCTCCCTCCCTGATCCCGACCTCTCCCTCCTCTGTTCGCATCTCCCATCCCGACCTCCCGGTCCCGACCTCCCGACTTAATCCCGACATCTCCCTCACCTCCCCGTCCTGACCTCCCATCCCATGCCTAGACTCGTCCTCCCTCCTCCTCTATCCCGACTCCCATCCCATCCCGACCTCATCCCGACCTCTTCCCCTCCCCCCACCTTCCCTTCCTTCCCGTCTCGACCTCTCTCCCCCTCTCCTTTCTTCCCCCGACATCGTCCCAACTCTCTCCCTCATCCCGACCTCTCCCTCCTCTGTTTGCATCTCCCATCCCGACCTCTCGGTCCCGACCTCCCATCCCGACCTCCCCGTCCCGACCTCTCCCTCTCTCCCCTTGCTTCCCCGATCCCGACATCGTGGCGAGTCGTCTCCCACGCCTAGATTCCTCCTCCCTCCTCTTCTATCCTGATTCCCATCCCATCCCGACCTCATCCCAACCTTTTCCTTCTCCCTTTCCTTCCCCGACTTCCTTCCCCTGACATCGTCCCAACCCGTCTCCCATCCTGACCTCCCGACTTGATCCCGACCTCTCCCTCACCTCCCCGTCCCGACCTCTCCCCCTGTGGCATATTGCGTAGCCACACGGGCCCTGCAGGGCCCGTCCCGGTGGCATCCTTTCAGTTGAGTTTTAAGCTCATTTTCGTCCACCCAGTTCTTCCTTTCCTCGTTCCAGATGTCCCCTACTAGCCATACACCATGTTTGATCCATGACAGCCATCTGTTGCCTCTGTGGGTAAGACTCCGCGGGTGGTCCCCCTCGTCTCTGATCCACGGGTTCCCAAACAGAGGCTGCCTGAGCACTTCCTCTTTGTATCTGGGTTTGTTTCCTTTCTCGGGCACGATTTCTCTCCAGATACGTATAAGGCCCGTCCAATAGGGGATAGGTGTCTGGTCGTGCGATGGGGAAGCGCTAGTCCCATGTCTTCTCCTCCCTGTTCTTGGACTCCAGTCCTTTTTCATTACCCAGAACAGTCCGGACATGTTAGTGGGGGATTCCGTTGGGGCCAGCTTCCTGATGCTTTGTGCTAGTTTGTTCCACAGCAGTGATTGACTAGTCAGTAGCTTGATGACCCACTGTTGCATACTAGTGAATACTTCACCAAGTATGGGCAGAACCAAAGATCAACCAATATAGGATGAGCATGTATACAGCGGAGTCGGAGAAATGGACTGACTCACATAGACTGAACTCACCCAAACATCACTCAACACACAAACAATCGTGAGATGGTGGGGTCTGAAGCCATACATAGACGATGCTTCAGGCCCCGTACAACCATTCACAGATGAATGGTGGGAGGAGAGACGATGGAGGTGGGAGATATGGACAGCGCCAGATGTCACCAAGATAGAATCCAGAAGGTCACCGATATGGTAGCCCAAAATGTCACCACACAAAGTCAGAATGTCGTGGACATAAGTCACCGATGTCGGAGGTACAGAATCCTAATGTAACCGGTGTCCGATCTGTGATGCCGCCAGGTATCAATCCCAATTGTCTCCAATGTCTCGGATCTGGTAAGTATCACAGCCTCCTACCACCGAAGTCCAATCACTGATCTTTGTCCAACTCGTATCAATAGTCTCCAGTCTGAAGAGGAAGAGAAGAAGAAGCAGAAGAAGAAGTCTGAAGAAGAAGAGAAGAAGGAGAAGAAGAAGCCTAAAGAAGAAGAGAAGAGTCGGAGAGGGGCCGAGGGGAGGTGGAGAGGTCGAGTCCGCGCCCAGGCTCCTACCTGCGGATGCAAGCTGGCGCCTTGGAACTGTCGAAGACCCGCGGCTCCAACCTGGAGCTATGGCGCTACGCAGGTAAGCTGGTAGTGTCTGTCCGCCACCTCCAACTGTCACTCAGCGCTAATCGGCGCTGCTGTGCTCGGAGCTGCGCTAAACCCAGATTAGCGCAGCGCTATTCCATAACTGCTGCCATACTCCTCCGGTCCTGAATAGACTGTCGCTGGGTACTAAGTACCGAGGTGGCCTGTTTGGTCTTGCTGCTTCGGAACAGTGCCGTGGTCTGAACCGTCAGATCCGGTTGTCGATCTGCAGTTTCAGATCGGCCTCGCTGGCAGCAGCCTCTAGGGCGCCGCCGGTCCAACGGTCATATCGTTGGACCGTGTCCGCTTGGGGCTGTGCGACGGGGCCTACCCGGGGGCATTCCGCATAAAGGTCCGGTCTTTGGACCGGGACGGCCTGGACTATCGTGTCCAGGCCTGTGGTACCCCTAGGCCTAGTGGTCGGGCCCGAAAGGGACCCGTATGACATGCAGTATGTAACACCCACTTAACTTGTAAGGCTTTCGTTTCTTGTTTGGGGTCAATAATGCCTAGTCCCCCCTGAGTCGGTTTCCTTGTGATGTAGTGCCATGCTTTGTGATATACTTTTCTTTGTAAGGGTTCCCTGACCATAAGTATGCTCTGGCTTTCTTGTTTAGATCTTTGATGGTCTGGTCTGGTATTGTCCAAATGGAGGCTATGTACCACATCATTGAGAATACGGAGGTATTAACGGTAAGAGCCCTACCTAGTAGTGATGTAAATGCTTGACTCCGTTTCCGCATTTTGTTGATTTGACCAGCTAGGAGATTTTGTGCCATCTGGGGAGCCGGACCGTCCTTTGTTACTTGGATCCCCAGGTATCTCGTTGGCTCCTCCGGCATCTCCCAGGACATCTGATCTTCCGGTCCATGAAGCTGTGGGATGGGTTCGATGGATAACCACCACCCTACCGTCTTTTCCCAATTTATCTTCATTTCTGAAGCCAGTCTGAACGCTTCCATTGCTCTGACTAAAGCTGTCATGGACGAGTTGGAAGCTCGTATCATCACTATCAGATCGTCTGCGAACATGATTACTGTAGGAAATGTGAAGTGGTGTGAGGAGCCGACGTTCATTTCCGGCAGTCTTTGGATAGATGGGTCTTTACGGAGGAAAGAGGCTATAGCTTTCATGACGAATAGAGAGATAGGCGGTGCTAGCGGATCGCCTTGTCTTACCGACCTAGAGATTGGGTAGCCTTCGGAAAGCAACCCGTTGATCTGGATGCATCCAGAGGCGTTATATAGGACTCGCACCCATTTCCTGAAGTTGGGGCCTACCCCCATTCTTTCCATACTTGCATCGAGAAACTCCCAATTTACCTGATCGTAAGCTTTTTCAAAATCGAAGAAAAGAATTGTTGTGTTGATTTTCTTCTCCATCACTTTCTTGGATGCCTCGTTGAGGGTCATTACATTGTCCAACATATACCTACCGAGTATAAAACCCGACTGGTCAATGTGGAAGCATTTGTCTGTCAGGTCCAATATGCGGAAGGTTAGGGCTTTGGCCAGTATTTTATAGGGAAGTGTGAGGAGGGATATTGGTCTGTAGTTTTTGATGTCTTCCCGGTTTACCCTTTTTATACAGAAGAGTCACAACACTGGTGCTGAGGACTTCGCCCATACCCTCTTTTCCCCAACTATCGTTGTAGAAATTCATAAGATCTGAACCCAGTAGGGGCCAAAATTTCTCCCAAAATTCCTTTGTCAGTCCGTCGATACCTGGGGTCTTATTGTTATTCATATTCTGAACCGCGAACTGTAGCTCTTCCATGGATAACTGTTTATCCAATTCGTTTGCTTGCTTATCAAATAATGTCCTGTCTAAGTATTGCAACATTTTGGATTTGACTGCTCGGATATTGGTAGGGGTGGTTGTGGTGTTTTAAATCGGCAAAGTTCTTTGTAAAAGTTCTTTGCGACCTCTAACATCCCTTCACTGTCCGTGCGAGTTTCCTGTAGGCCTGTTAACTCCTTGAGACCCTATATTGAGTTGGACCTGTTGTTTGCTTTTATTCTCGAGAAGAAATGCTTAGACATTTGTTCATTTAATTCTAGGTCAGTCATTCTGGCTCTGATCTGTAGTCCTCTCAGTTCCCACTGACGCCACACCGCCAGTTCTTTTTTTGTCCTTTCTAGTGCATCCGTGTACGGTGAAGAGGAGGGGTTGGTAGCTAGATTGTTTTCCGCTACTCTGAGGGCCGTTTCGAGCATCAATTTCCTGTGTTTCCTGTCGTTGGCCATTTTCCTTGAAATTCTAGTTGTTGTTTTGGCCAGCTTGAGGTAGCTTTTTTGGAACCAGTCCCATCTGTCTTGTCCTGTGATAAAGCCTCATCTAAGATTGTGCCAGCTAGTCAACATCCCCTCTTGGAATTATTGACTAAGTAGGAGAGAGTTATTCAGTTTGTGGAAACTATGTCGCTTTTGGATGTACTAGTCGAAACTGATGATTAGCTCAATTGGTTTATGGTCAAGGCCTGGGTACGGCGCCAACGCCAATACGTCCACTTCCTTGACCGTCCCCATGATGTGGTCGGTAATGAGGAAGTAATCTCTGCGAGAGAAAGTCGTGTGGTGTGCATGATTTTCTTAACAAGGGAGAATGACTTGGTAGTTGGGTGTAAGGTGCGAACAGGGTCTACCAAACTGTGGTCTATGATAAGTTTTTGAACTGGGGCTGCTTCTTGAGATGATTGTGGATATATGGTCATTGACCGGGTCCAGAGGGGCATTCCAGTCACCCCCAATTAGACAGGCTTGTACGGGAGGAATTAGGTGGCCTATGGAGTCAATAAACGCGGATCTTTCGTTACGGTCATTGGGAGCATACACACTGATCACGCTGAGTTCTTCTTCCTTCCATCTTATATCCATAAAGCACCACCTGCCCTCGATTTCATCGGATCCTGTGTTGATTACCATCCCCGCACTGTACAACCTGGAGGTCTTAGGAGTTAAAATTGCAGTCCCTTTCCTGCTCGAATTGTTGTCTGAGGACCAAACCGCATCCTTGATCCCTTCCACCTTCCTCATAAAGAATTTTTGTATTTCTTGGTGATCACTGTGGTTCGTTAGATGGGTCTCTTGGAGCATTATAATGTCCGTCATCCTGTTGTTTTCCTGTTTGAGGCCTTTAATTATGTCATTCAGTTTGTTTTCCTAACTTAGGATGTTTCCTAACCCATTTACATTCCAGTTGCATATGGTGATACCTTGAGACTTCCAATTGGGTTTGGGTGCCTATTGATTTGCTTTATTCCTGAACCCCTCTATGTACAGGGACTATGGTTTCGAGGTAAGTGGCTCATACCTTTCAAGGGGTTTCCAGGTCCGGTGAGATTGAGGCATCCGGCAACGTCCTGGGTGGGTCCACTTTGGTTCCCGACCAGAGGTCGTCGATCTTGTATTCTCCTATGATGCCACTGACCTGATTTCCAGGGGAACCCAAGGGGTCCTCGTCTGTGCGCTCACGGCCAACCCAGTCCTCTATGTCCTCCTTCTGGAAGTCATCTCTATAGAAGCAGTCAAGGTCCATGGCATAAGCTTTGGCTTCCAGATCAACGTCCCCATTCAATGTGCCAGCTCTGAGGATGTCCGCCAGCGAGGCTGCTGACAGCTCCGTCGGGATACCCAGACCTGACAATACACTATAAGGAATTGCAGTCACAGTGTTCCACGATCTCCACATCATGCCTCTCTTTAGTCTCGTGTTTTCCGGCATCTTGGCGATTAGCGGAGTGAACGAACTCTATCTGGAATTTGCTGGGACAGTGAGGGACTCTTGCTGGTCGTGGAGAGGCACTCCCGTCTCCTGCTTTCTAGAGAATTTTGTTGAGCCTTCGGTTACGTACACGCCCAACGGACAAGTGCCAGTGATTTTTTTGCGGATTACGGACATCAGGTTATGACCCTCTTCAAATAGGGGGATTGCGAAGGATACCTTCGTGGCTACCTGCCATTCGCCGGTTCCTTCTACATATCGAGCGGCTAACAGAGGCCGCAGTCCCATCACAGTAAGTTTGGCTGAGCTGGCCTGTTGAAGTACGTGAGGGGCTTTCCCCTCTGCTATGTGTTGCAGGGATGTGAATTCCGGTTGGTAAACAGCGCTGAGCTTCTTCAGTTTTTCTGTTTGGGCCTCAATGACTACAAGATCCAGCTCGAGGTCTGCACGTTCCGTTTTCTTAGCACTTTCTGTTTGGGCAGGGTTGAGCTCTTGCTTCTTTTGTGCTTTGGCAGCTCCCCATTTCTTCGGGCGCAGATCCTGGAAGGGCTCATCAGAATCTTTGTTGTTCTCTTTTGTGCCCAATTGACCATGTTATCTGGCTCTTTTCTTCTCAGCGTACGTGAAGGCAGCGTACTCAGATAATTCTTCTTCTTTCTCCAACAGCTCGTACTTGTTGGAGGAAGCGTGGATGTCGGTGATCGTGCCTTGTATCATGTTCCTCTCTTTGTGTTTTAGGCATGCCGTTCGGATGTTGAAGAGGTGTTGTCTCTCCCTCTTTGCTTTTTCAATGTATTCACGAAGCCAATGAAGCGACCTGTTAGGAGGGGAAGTTTGATCGCTGCTAGGGGCCGAGCCACACGAACTTTTGCTGTCATCGCTGTCTTCTTAGTCCATTGACGAGTCCGAGTCTTTAACCGGCTCCACCGTTGCACCATTTTGTGGGCTAACAACAACACCTTCCACGCTTTCAGCGTTGTTTGCCTTTCTCCTCTTTGAATCAGCTTGTCCTCTCTCTCTAGTCGAGCTGTTGTCAAGGGTTCGTTTGTTCTCACACTGCAGATTGGCCATTTTTTGCTCCTTTTCAATTTTGTCTTCATTCTGCCTCGAAACCTATTGAGCTAGCTCCTACTTCGGTTAGAAGAGGGGCTGCTCAGGTCTATATAGAGTAGTGGGCTCAGTCCAACCAGTGGCCTGAGCCCGTTTTCTAAGTCTGTGTGTGTGTACGATTGTTGGTCTGCATGCCCGTCTGAGTGCCTGTCGGCTTGAGTGTGTGTGCGACCCGCAAGGGCACTTTGTTGGTCGGTTGGCCCGAAGAGTCGGCATTTACCTATAGTCGTGACTTCGAGGGACACAGCGGGAAAGCTATAAAGTAGCGGGGTAGACCCGCACACTTAGAACAGCTGGAAAAACACTCAAGTAGCAGGTAGGCCAGTACCACACCAAGTAGAGGTAGATGCGTCGGGTACTCAGGGCCGAGCAGAAGAAGACAAAAGTTGGCATTTTTAGACGCCCAGTAGGACCAGTACCGGGTACATAGGCGGGTACCAAGTCAAGTAGCTTGAGTCTAGGCCCTATGCGAGCGATATCAGAGTCCAAAATGATGTTTCCCTCCGAAAGGAAGAAAATACCAGTTGCTTGGGTGGCCGCATGGTCAGAAAGTCACCGTCCAAGAGGCAAACGCCCCATTCATATGCGAGGCTGAGCAAGAGCCTCGACCTCACTTGAGGTATACGGATAAGATCAGAGGTACCACTCGAGCAAGTGCTTAGCATTACGGGCGTTGACGATCATACTCTAATAATCGCTCCGGCCATATGGCCGAGGCGTATATTTATTTATCCGGACTAAGGTGTTGATGGTTAAGTCGTAGCGTGAGTCGTAGATCTACCTAACATATCACTAATCCAATCGACCCCTCGACCTTCTCGGCTGAAGGGTATTACTACTGACTCTAATCATCAGAACGTGTGTCACAATAACGCGCGCGCATACTTAACGAAATTTTCTCGCCGATTTGCCCCGTCCTTAATGGTCGAGGAAATCGTTTCAAAGTGTCACGCGAAAACGCGTACACTTTTAAGTTCAGACCGACTCCGTCATGGCGGTCGGTGCGATCGGTGTGTCGAATATAAAAACATGGCCAAATACCCTTGTAAGGGTATTTGGTCCGACAGCGCGTCCTTATTTTAAGAAGAATATGTATAAAATTATATATATATATATATATATATATATATATATATCGTCAAATATATATATATATATATATATTGTCACAAACAGAACTGCCCGGTAAACCGTAGGCAGAGAGAGAGAAGAGGACAACAAACGAGGGGCTGTGACAAACTGTTTCGTCGGAGTTTCACCGACTCATCAGGAGGCTGAACCCTCAACAGTCTG